AAAAAAAAAGAAAAAAAAAATCACTTCCACTCATCTTCCATCAGACCAGCACCTATTAATCCCATGTCTGCGTCTTGTCCTGTCCCTCCAATGAAAATATAATGAGGGCTTGGAGGAATGTTGACACTGTATATTTGGACTGTCCTGTTCTTGAGGAAAGCTGGTGCCAAATTCCCTGGTTTCCTCAGAGGATTGCGAAAGGCTGTAACTCAACACACAGCCTGACTGAGTGCAGACGGTAATGATGATCTCCTAGACCTTGGCCGGAGATTGAGAGTGTTCCTTGGCCACAGCCTCTATGCTCATTGCTCATTTTCAGGGCTCATGTTGAGTTTGGAGCTGTAGAAGCACTTTTGCAAGGTGTGCACTGGTGTGTGTGGCCCGTGCAACGACTTAATAATCCAAAATTAGACTCTAATAGTGTGCTGACAAATGGTGGCAAAATGGCATCAAGGGAAGCATGCATGTCTTTCCCGTAATGCAAGCAGTTTTGACTTCTGTTTTCAGTTGCCATAATGGTTGCAGTATTATGTACAGGTAATGAGTAGCCTATGAAAACCCCTGTATCCTTGCTCTGACCATCTCAGGCAGTCTTTAAAAAGAATGAGGATAACGGGGCCTCCAGTCATGCTGCTGGTCTATAAGAGCCTGAATTCTTTGGTACTTCTAATTGCTTTCAGGAAATGGACACATTTGGCCTAGCAAAAGACGTGAGCACGCACACACCTTCAGCTAACTCGCATGCAGTTAGATTGGCTCTGGGCTAATGCCAGAACCTATATTTCATAGCTAATACGTGATGTTTCCGTTCACCGCCCTTGGCTTCAGCTCACGTCCCCTCAGTGAGCTAGCGGTGCCCACACTGCTGCTGGTGTTGTGTAGGTGTCTTTGTCCGAGGCTGCAGTGGACCTAAAAGCTGTGGCACTGGTTTTTCTGCTCGACTGCAAAAGCACAGGAAGGCCGTTGCATCATCAAACGCTGACCACTAATCTTTGGCTGCAGGCTGCTGCTGACGGAAGAAAAGGAGAAAAGTACCCTCTTTTTTGAAAAATGTAAAATTCACTTTGACTCATGCTTTTATGTATAATTACACCCCGCAAGACATGCATCAGCAAACTTTCCCTGTGTTGTACAGATGAAGCTTCTGTGAGGTTTCATGTCTTAAGGCTTGAATGGGTGTTGAATTTGCAAAAGGGGATTTTTTTTAGACACTTGTGTGGCAGACGGAACAGATTAAACACAACAAACTTTCTACTCAACTCAACTTAAAAGTCATGTTTAACTCAGAACCGAGACACATTGAGTGCCTGTTATGTGTTAGAGTTTACAGTGGAGCTTAATTGTGTGGAATGGTGTATAACTCAACTTTCACGTCTCCTACTGATAGTCATCTTCTTTTATGCATCATTTCACCTTTGTCCTAGAGGCTGCTGGCAAAAACTGTCTCTGCACACTTTTGATTTGTGTGATCTCATGTTGTGCAGTCAAATGTGAGATTTATTTAAGCTTATATAATCAGCGCCTGTGTATGTCTATATAAGATCTGACTTCAACTGCATGTTTCAACACGCCGTACTGAGGAATGGGGGATTTTCCTTGTAACGTATCTAACAGTGCAGAGTTAGGTTACACTAGGGTGTGTTGAGCCAGTCCAATCGACATAAAATAAGATTATACTTGAATTAACATATTTTCTTCAATGTCAGCTTCCCTTGAAAAATTGTTTGTCCAGGTTGGAGCCTAATTTGAGTCTGTAAACCAATCCTGACTGTCTGGCCAACTTTGATATTAGACTCTATTTTGGCTCTCAGAGCAGTTTGCTCAGTAATTCCTAAAAGAAGCTTCAGTTCTTGTGGCTTTCCTCTCAATCCGGAATTTAGTTTGGATCCCGTCTTTTGAATTCCATTAAAGTTATTGATCAGCAACTAGCTGTGCAGTGCTACTATTGTCTGTATTTCCTTGTTCTTACACACTCTTTCTTTAGAACGAGTTGGCTTTGGCACCCTCCACTCCACTACAACACTCCTGTGAGTTTCAGAGAGGAGGAATTTTGTCCGAGGGTTTTTTTTTCTTAAACCAGGGCTGTCTTGTTCCTTTCCTCTCCAGCAAAAACAACAGGCTGCTGCCAAGTGCAGTGTAAATGGGAGTATACATAGGGCGAGAGAGAGGGGGCAGTTGGGATTTAAGTAATAAAATGCCTCATGAGGGACTGGCTCCACACATCAACTTGTCCTTGGGTTTAATACATAATGCAGACTTCTGAAAAATCAAAAGAATTAGCAAGATTAGCTTATTTTTACTGTGCGTGCACTGCATCTTTAGTTTAAATGTGATCTGAAGTTTTAGCTTAACAAATTTATGGTTATAGGGCTGTTTTAGACCTGACCTCTGCACCACACTTGATGCAGATGGTTAAATGAATGAATTCTAGTGCAAATTAGACAAACAAAATAATTTGATTTATTTAGTTCATATATATCTCAGAGGTTCCATATTGATTGCTGGATTCGGTCTCCGCCATGCACGACAGTAAACTCTAGTGAGCCTGTAAAAACACTTTGGGACCAGCCCATGCATAGGGTGGAGTACGTTAGAATAGAGTTACATAACCCTGCTTTTTTCATTACCTCTTCCATGGCCTTTGTAATACAGAAAGTCTTTCAGCCCAGCGAAAAAGGGGTAGCAATGAAAGAAAAACTTTAACTACTTTAACTTTAAATACAGTCAGCCTGTCAGCTAGTTACCCACCAGCAAAGTTAGCTGTTTTTGTAGCACTTCACAATACACGTCTTTGTTGGTTTGGTGTGAGAGGTGCTTTGTTCAGTTGGTGCCTAACCTGTGGAGGTTCGGCTACGGCTGAATGCCAAAGAAGCAAATGTGAATTAAACTGTTAACGCCAAAGTTGCATTGATACCATCTGATACCATTTGCAAGTTTGGCTGTTGAGCCTATGTTTTGTCAGTGTACACAAAGAAGTTGAAGTATCAGGTGTGCAGGAATTTAGTCAAATAGATTAGATCTACTTGTAATTCCCTCTGAAAAGGTGAAATAGTCTGCCAGTGTTTTGCTTACAATTGCCATTTTTTGGGTGCCTTTATTTTCTGCTCGAATGCGGAACAGTAAGAGTAAAGTCAGTGGGTCTCAGTTTGCCTCTCCTCAGAGATCGCAGGGATGGACAGAGTAGAGTCGGTTCATGTTACACTGTTCTCATCTGGAACATTTGTTTTTTATTTGGCCATCAGAAGTTTTCCAACTCTCTGCCTTACAGTAATTAGAGAGACGTCTTAATTCTCCAGCCACTTCCTTTATGCCTGCGTGAATGCTGCTTTTTCTCCTCTGTCCTTCATTCCTGCCTGATTACATTAAAAAGTACTGTGGTCAAACCCTCCAAAATACCCCAAATTGTTGGAAGAGGGGTGGTGATGGAATGCATGAGTGTTACCCAGCTCTGTTTTGGCACAAATGCTTTTCATAACTTTTAAAACCTTTTCATGAGGAAACAAAACAAAAAAAATGAACAGAGATCAAAACTTCTTTGTAAATTATCTGATGGTAAAAGACGATAGTTAAGATAAGATGGATCTGTGTTTTAGATCAAAAAGCTTCAAAAGCTTTTTGAAAAGTTTTATTCGTTGCTTCCTTTTGCATGTGAAGCTACAGCAATGAGTATGTCGCTGCTTACACTGTCTGTGTTTGTGCGTGTGTGTGTGTGTGCGTGTGTGTGTGTGTGAGTGTGAGTGTGTTTGGGTTTTTGTGTTTTCTTTTCTTCACCCGCTGCCTACTGAAAAGATAACACAGCTGTCAACACAATCATTTTGAAATCATTCTTAGAAACAGCAGCCAGTATTTACAAAGATATTTGATGACGAAGACAAAAAATGGTGAAAAACGAGTGTGTGTCAAAGGCAAGCTGTATAACATCATAATAAGACAAAAGATGCTGTCAGATGGCTGCAGTATAATAAGTATAAATGTTTATGTTATCATAACGGAGTCAGAAAAGGGGGGGGGGGGAATCCAAAGAAAAATGCATGCACCCATGACATGGTTTTTGGTATGAATAAAACCGTAGCTATCAGTACAGATGCAGGGATAGATCAGATATAAGGTAGTGGGCTGGAAGACTTTAAAAAATTAAGTTAGTATTTATAATCAATATTTCTTTTCCTTTGTGAAAGTGAGCAGAAATTGATAACAAAGCATTATGATTAAATAGAAAAAATATTAGTATTGGCACCATGAAGTCTTAAAAAATTTGTTTTAATTAATTTCATTATTTCTTCTTTTAGAACTAAAGATTTACAGACTCAAGTATTTAAAATAGGTGTGTGCACTATGCTTCTCTCTGTGGTGGAGAAAAAAAAGCTGAATTTTCACTGTCAGCGAGTTGTTTTTAGGCTTGACTCTCATCCTAATCATCCCCCTCTTCCTCTTTTCTCTTTTCCTTCCTCTCTTTACCCCCTCGCCTCTTCCCCTCCCCTCCCACAGCGGCGGTGGTGGCCGGGTTGGACATGATGCCGGGACAGATACCTGACCCTTCGCTGGCGGCGGGCTCCCTTCCCAGTCTGGGCCCACTGGCGGGCATCTCGGCCACCACGCTCACCGATCAACTCAAGCTGGCTGACTTCCGCCAGCTGGGCACCATGCTGTCTCCGCTGCACTTCCTGGGCAGGCTGGGGAAACGGCCGTTGGCCATCAAGACAGAGGTGAGGAGGAAGAGAAAAGAGGAAATAGAGTGTGTGAAACGTGAATGTCATGGGAGTATTAGCCAATCAAGTCAGGCTTTATCGTTTTATCATTAAGAGTCATTTTTGTCTGTCACCCAAGTATGGTCACAAAAACAGAAGACATGGTAGCAGCCAAAGTGTCAAACTCATGGCTTCAAATCAGTAAGCCAAGGGGTAACCTCAGGGTGGCTGTGTCCACTTTTTTGTACAACCTGTGATTGAAATGGAAAAATAAGAACAGTAAAATGTAAAAACCTCTTCTGTTTTAATATTAATGATACTTTGTATTTGCAGATGGATGAAGATGAAGAAAGGAGGAAACGAAGACGAGAGAAAAACAAAGTTGCTGCAGCACGATGCCGAAACAAAAAGAAGGAACGGACTGACTTCCTTCAAAGGGTGAGTTCATGATTCAGCACTGCACGCTGAAGAGCAGAACAAAATCATTTTTCATGATCTCAAACCACTTATTCATGTTTGTGGTTAGATTAGTTTTTGTCCTCAAATTTCAATATCAACTCATTAAGCGTAAGATTGTCCTCTGTGAGGTGTTTTTTTCCAGTAGTATGTACTAATTGAATGCCTTTGTCCAGGAATCGGAACGTCTGGAAATGGTGAACTCGGAGCTGAAAGCCCAGATCGAGGAGCTCCGTCTGGAGAGGCAGCAGCTAATGGTGATGCTCAATCTCCACCGGCCGACATGCATCGTGAGGACCGACAGCGTCAAAACACCTGAGAGCGAGGCCAACCCACTGCTGGAGCAGCTGTCCTCTGAAACCAAGTGAAAAAAGAGAAACCAGGGAAGTTCCTGAAGCCCAAACTAGCACCACCGTGGCTGCCGTTTATATGTTAACATAACTGGCAATACATTTCTAAAGAAGCACTTGAGCTCCAAGCTGGAGACTTTTGGAGACTTGGTCCAAAGATCTGAGGTTGTGGGGCTTCCTCAGTACTGCTACACGAGCTGGCTCTGTCCATTGGAAGACTGGAAATACCCAGGTTCATCTCCACATTAAGTGTTGTTGTTGATACCCGCTGTGCCTCGTTGTTACTTCAACCATCTCTACAAAAAAGGGACCAATGGAAACAGTAGAGTATGACTGGAAACAGCGCTGAGGAAACACACTAATATCACTATGGTGCTCTGTTACAAAAGCCCTGCGTAGATTGTGTGGCATTGTTTCAGTGCCGTGTTCTGCAGTTTTCCTAATGTATGCTAGCTGAAATATACAGGTGTAGAGTTATTAGGATAAAATACTCATTACAGATACACCAAATGGAGTAGAGGTTTTTTGTTTTTTTTCAATGTTTATTTCTATACCCTGCCTCGACGATGGCAGTTACCGGTTGATCCGATTTGTGGTGACGCTGGCGTCATGAAAAGCACATATACACAAAATGTTTACACCCTTATTTTTTGGACTTGTTGTCTGTCCATTATTGTACTTGTTTTATACTGCTTTCTATACATAAACATATATGAAATGCTTGTGAATCACTTGATGTGATTTGTCTTTCAGTCTTTGCAGTCTGTCATGTTGCGCTGTCAAACAGCTGTGAAAAGGAGTAGAGGCTCCTCAGCTGAGCAGTATTTCAGTGTCTGTTCTGCATCTCTCTTTATGTATAAACTGATATCCTGAATAGATTAAATTTTATTTTCTAACTACAAGAAAGACCTTTTATGTTTTCCTTCCATTACGTTACACCTGTAAAAATGCAATATTGCAATATACTGAAGTTGAATTTGTACCAGCCGGTCATGACACTAGAATTACAGAATACCAAATGTTGTGCAATCACGTTTTCTTCAGCGCTATTCTTCAGTATATTGCCAAAGTCAGGGCTTTACTTTTGTTTGCACAACTCTGAAAAGGTCACTCATGCTTTTATTTCTTCGAGCCTTGATTAACATAGATCCCTTTGTTCACTGCTCACCGCGAGAAATGACAGACGGCACAGAACTAACTCGACAGCAGACGCCCCAGTACCTGCTGACGATCACTGGCTGCCTCTTCATTGTAGAATTTATCCTAGTACTTTATTACTGTTTACAAGTCTGGTGTTTATTGGAACATGTATTTTATTAGTATATTTATTAGAACGGACTCTTTTTTTTTTTTGTGAATATGATACCTCACAAACACTTGGAAGACATTTCTTTAAATTTAGCACAAATATGCAATTGAGCTCAAGGATGAGCTAATTAGATTTTCATGGTCAGAGAGGAAAGGACACTGTGACATATTGCCTTGAGAAAATGTTGACTTCAACTAAAGAACAAACTGACTAGTAAAGAAGTGAAATCATGAATGGGCTTCTCTAGCTTCTCTAGCTCTTGCTGGGACACATAATCTCTCACTTAGATTTCTGAGATGCCAAAAAGCAGATTTAGTTACAGCTTTAATGTGGTCAATGAAACTAATCCTTATCCACGGTTACACAGATTTATCGCATGAGTTCTTTAGCGCACAAGAGTCCACAGTCAAATATCAGTCACTCTAACCTCATGACGATAACATTTTACACAGGATAAAAAGATAAGGCGATGCCATTTGTCATGTAAAATGTCAAGTCTGGATAGACATGGATATGAACTGCAATTTGACTTATTGATAGAGGCTCAACTAAGTTCAAACTTTGCCCTGTGACTTTGAGTTAAAGTTGCACTGAAGTATTGACATTTACCATTTGATCATGAACAGCAGGACAAAAATCGTTATACATTTTGAGGATTTTCCTGATAATCCCTTTCTCTTCCAATTATAATGTACAATACTGGGCAAAGGTCTCGAGTGACCCCTCATTTCTTTATATTTTCCTAAGAAAACAATGGTTGCAGCGATGCATTAAACATATTCAAATATACATGGATCATTGGTCATGCTGAAAAATTAAGCCATTGCCAGTCACGTACTTTATATAGGTTGCATTGCATGGTGGATCAAAAACATTAAAATGGAATATTTGCTAAGTTGTCTGTTATATGTAAACACAACACTGGTTCATCTCTCGAAGTAGTTGGTTAGGTAGGGTTTTTGTTGTTGTTTTGTTTGTTTGTTTGTTTATTAAGTACCTTAACAAACCTAAAAGAATTCTTCTGTTCTTCTGAAAATGTCCGGTGGAAGGACTGGACTAAGAATGAGTTTAAAAGCAGCCAAACAATGAAAGATCTCCAGAAAGCCTGAAGAAATATTGCTCAAGATCAGATTAAAAATGACGAGTCTGGCTCCTTGGAAGTATGAGATGAGGAGTGGCTCGAGACTTTTCCAAAATACTATAGATGAAAATCAAATAGAAGTCCCTTTAAAACCTGCTGGTATGAGCTACAAAATAAGTAAAACCTCAAGTGTTTATAATTTGAAAAATAAATTGATAACAAGTTTTTCTTTGCTACAGAGGCTGTACCAAATGACAGGAGTATGTTTGTAACATTTACAATACATCTGTATTGTTCTGAGCTAAACTTCTCAAATGTGAAACAAAGTACCCACATGCGTGTCTACTATAAACAAAATCAAATCAAAGCTCTGTGAGAACATTAGAGTCAAATACGTGGTGATCCTTTCCTACAGCCTTTGCACTTAAGTGTTAACAATTAGTAATAAGAAGCAAAAACACGTCGACGTCGCAATGTGCCGCATGTTTTAAAAAAGGGTGTGGGAGATTATTGCAATAAAAGAACAACTCATATTTGTGGTTATATTTTACCCCATTTGGTAGAATTGGTAGTCTGACTGTATAAAGGAGTGCTTTATACAGTCATTGGTCTCTCCCACGTTACAACCACATCCGGTCTCATCTCGATAGGGATTGCGGTGAACAGCGCCATCTAGTGCTTATCTATATAAACGAATCAAAGTCTTCACTATTACCATACTTTAAACCATTATTAATTGATATAGGGTACTTTTCTTTCTTTCTTTCTTTCTTTTTAAGATGGAAATGGCCGTTTCCAGTGTGCTTCATTTGTTTTTATCGATAATTTTCCGGCCGCCCTCGGATCTTTCATAACTTTCCTTCTCCTGATCAGCCGTTGGATCATCTTCTTAACACTAGAAAACGACAAATTTTTTCCCAGGTAGGCGGATAATTCCTCTGCTATGAACAATAATAAAGGTCTGACAAATAGGATTTTATATAAAAAAGTAAATATTTGTTTTAATTCCGAATAAAACAGTGTTTCCCCTCTTCTGCTGATCTAACTGTTAACTGCTTGATAAAATGCAGTAGTAGCTAGGTAGCTAGTTAGCTGGCAGCTCTTCTTCTACCTCACTGTTAAATAAATGCGCTGTAAAGTAAGTCATGTTAAGTTCAGTAGATCTTTAAACTTCATGTAAAACTATCCGTGTGTTGTTTCCGCAGGTTTCTCTATCAGGTTCACATTGCTCATGGAAGTAGTGCATAGCCAGGGGCGTTTCCAGGATTTTTAAATGTTGGGGAAGACAGGAAGTCTGAATATTTAAGCTGATGGAAATACCAGGAGTGGGTTTTTCATGCAAAGATATTTCAAGATTAAGTTCAGTTTTCACTGATGATTGTTGTCTAAAGATTGCCCACAGCCCAGTGTGCTCTCTGCTACTGTGGATAGTGGTGGTAGACTCGGTAGCTTTAATTGTGCCCCATTTTTATATATTTTTGAAGGGTTGCCACACATAACCTTTCTGACAGTTGTCAATATCTGTACATGTTTAGACTTTCATCTCACTTTGTGGGTCGAGTCTGGGTACTTTGCATAGTTGATCACATTTTCTTCTTTTATTGTAGGGCAGTTAAATAGAACTCATCTGAATATTGTAAATCATGCACATCCCTAATAAATTCAGTGTAAAGACTTTCATGTGCAGCTCTTTGCACTCATATAGATGCTAAAGCCTAAAAAGTGGCAGTGCACAGGAGTTTACAAAAATTACACAATGTTGCTTAAACAGTCTAATAGCCTGCAGCAGTGAATCCTACCTGTCTGCTCCTCTTATGTTGTCTTCCAAACATACACTTGAGGTTGTCAGGATCTTGTGCCGTGATGAATAACATCCATGAAGACAGTGTGGATTTTCAGTCCAATTCACAAGAGGAAAAGCAGCAGCTCTCTGTTCAGTCAGTCCTGTCCAGAGGATCCCAGGAGGAAATCAAGTTCATTAAGGGCCAAGCAGGGCACAGTGATGATGAATGCAGTACTGACCTGGAAGACGATAGTATGTTCATGGAGCAAAACAATTCCGTAACAGTAGATGTGTTTTTTTTATTTACCCGTCACGTCTTCTTATTTTCATTTCAGTTTTCACCTCCAGCAGGAGATTGAATTTGTCCCCATCAGACGTGTATCTAAAGGCCTGCAAGCAGACAGGAGCCGTTCCTGTTTCCTACATCCTCTGCCACTTGGATGATGCTATTCTAGACCTGAATTACTATGGGCTGGGACCTCTGGGGGCCAAAGCTCTGGCTATCCTTCTGAAAGTAATCCTTTTTTCTAGCTATTCATGCAATCCCCAAATTAAGATGGTGTAGGTCATGCTGGATCAAGTCCTGGTCATGTAATGAGTCTGTAACATATTTCAAATGAGTTTGTACTTTTTAAACAATATTGTATCATTTTTTATTAATTTATTTTTTAATGTTTTAGAGTCACGGTGTAGTCACCCACCTCGAGTTGAAAGGGAACTCACTTCAGGCTGAAGGGACACAGTATCTGATGGCGATGCTTTTTGAAAACATCAGCATTCAGAGTCTAGTAACAACTTTAAAAACATCACATTCAAAACTACAGTTTTGTGTAGATGTAATCCTCTTGCTGTATGTGCAAGAGAAATGGCCTTAATGTTATTTAAAAAACAAAAATCTCAATCTTGTCTTTTCTTCAGAATCTTTCTGACAACAAGCTGGGCCTTAAAGGAGCAGAGGTTATCTCCAAAATGCTGTCAGACAATCGTAAGCTCAAATCCATCAACCTCTCAGGTGCTCAGCCAAGTCTTAAGCTATGCTGACATGAACTTCTGTCTATCACTGTAATACAGCAGCGAAATGAAGAAGGTAATTCTCTCATTTCCCTTTGTTCTCTTAGAAAATGACTTTAGTGACGCTGCAGCTAAATGCTTGGCAGAAGCATTAAAGGTGAGTGCAGACTGCCGAATGCCGCATACATAATGAATTACACATGTCTATATGTGTCACGTCTATATGTGCTTTAAGCTGCAATTCAGAATTTTCTTTCCTATCTAACAGAATGATTTTGTGGTCAAAGAGCTTGACCTCAGTTACAACTGCATCTGCGATGCAGGAGGAGAAGACTTGGGTGTCATGTTAGGTACAGATCATCTCTATTTCTGTTCACATTAGATCCTTCAAATTAATGCAAAGCTTTACTTTTATTTTTTGTAAATTAGAAATTCTAATGATGAAGCAGCTTTTGACAATTTTGGAATAGCATCTGGGCTTTAAGCGTTAGGGTAGAAACAAGCTATCCTCACTTTGGAACATCCAGCTGTAAATTTCTCTCTCTCTGCATTGGCTCCCTGTTAAGTCTAGAATTTAAAATTGTTTTCCTTACAAACAGCATTTTGAATAATCAGGCCGTATTAGGACAATATGGACCGTGTAGTACAGCAGTCCCCAACCCCCGGGCCTCGGACCGGTACCGGTCCATGAGTCGTTTGGTACCGGGCCGCGAGAGTTGAGGCTCAGGTGTGAAATGTATAGTTTTCAGGGTTTTTATCAGTTTTCAGTGTTATTTTGTTGTCGTTTTTATCGTTTACTCGGTTTTCCTTGGGCTTTTCAGGTGTGTTATGAATAAATTTTCTTTTTTTCGGTACCGGTACTAGTTTTATTTTGTTGTATTTATCCGCGACACCTTAAAGGCCGGTCCATGAAAATATTGTTGGGCATAAACCGGTCCGTGGCGCAAAAAAGGTTGGGGACCGCTGGTGTAGTACCATATTGTCCTAATAGAGAACTTCACTCTTCACTCTCTGGTGTTTCTCTACTTTTAAGATTTGACTTTTTGATGAAGTTTATAGTTAGGGCTGAATCAGGTGACTCAGAAGGATCCCTTAGTTACTTGTTATAGGCACAAACTGCTGTGTGACTTCCTGTGATCCATTGAGCATTTCCTCTCTGCTCACCTTGTCAGCACTCATTAGATTCGGCCTTCTCTCTCTGCGAGTTGTGCTCTCTCTCCCATCACCCACAATCAGTTGCCACTGATGGCTACCCCCTCCCTGTTTCCGTGAAGATAGGAAGTACCTTGAGGCAATTTTGCACCGTATAAATAAACCTTCATGTGGGAGGACACCTCTGTAGTGATAACAAAGAATATTATAGATCATGCAATGAGAGTCAGGGAAAGAAAGTTGCTAAAAAGCTGAGGATTATAGCTTCTTATTAGTAGATATACTGTGAAGGCTGTTCGAGCATTATTGTTCTTGTTGTTGAGTTTCCTTCCATTATGAAATATAGTCAGTGTGCCCTTATGATATTATACTATATCATTGTAGTAGTTTAAGTATTTTAGAGAAAAAGACAAATTCTGCTGCACGGCATTGATTCTCAAAGTGGGTGTTGTAGCCTCCTGGTGGGCTGTGGAAGTATTGCAGGTGGTTCATTTTGTGATTTTAACTACCGGTAAAAAGTCACATTATATATTTACATACATTACATACATTTCCATACATACAGCTACTATTTAAATAAGAAATAGAACTGAAACAAAAAAAGGGGATTTTAAAATAACACATTTTTTAATTTTCTGACTGTTTTTGGTCTTGAACTCGAACTTGAATTTATATCTCGTCAGCAGTAGGGAAGAAATAAAACTGAAGCAATGGCTGTCTGGTAGTAGAAGTAAAGCCAGCAGAGCAAATTAGCAGGCAATCAAAATGCATCAACAAAACATAAAGAACTAAATACTATATACTTCATCTTAGGTCCGTGTGATGATCAGATGTACTTTGGTTGGGCAGCATTTGATTTTCAGCAGTTTGAAGTCCTGGATTGGCTGCTGTACAGACTTTCTAAACTAAAGTAATTATGAAAACAAACAAGCAGGCCTATAAAAGAGAAATGTGACCCACTGATATATTACTTAATAGTAAAGTATTAAGTATTCCTAAAGTATTTCTTGAACTTGAGAAAATTTTACATGTAGCTTGTAGATTAGTCTCAAATGTATTGTGACTTTGTAAAAATGTGTATTTCACTTCCTTGTAGCAGAGAACATCGGTATTGAAGTCCTAAATCTGAGCTGGAATCACTTTCTTATACGTGGCAATGCGGCTCTGATTGCTGGTCTAAAGGTGACTAAAATGACACACTCGAGCAAAGAGTTCAGTTTTGTTAACTCTCCTTGCTGACCTTCTCTCCCCCCTTTTCTTTCCTCAGGTAAACGCAACACTGAAGCAGCTCCAGCTGTCGAACAGTGGATTTGGCCGTCCAGAGGTACAGCTGATGGCTGAAGTGCTGCAACAAAATGACACACTTGTGCTGCTGGACCTCAGCATTAACTGTGTGGACGATGAAGCTGTAAGGCTGCTCTGCCAGGGCCTGGCCACCAACGAAACCCTCGAGGTTCTCAAAGTGAGTAAAAGACTCCTGCAGCAATACTTCATTGTAACGATTTTATCGTCATTGCACCCTATGAATTTGAGATCATGTTTGGTCTTTGCGTGTGTGTTTCAGCTCTCTCGCAACCCCATAACAAAAATCGGAGCCACCACGCTGCTCAGAACGGTTAAAAACAACATGAAATCAGCACTGAAGGAGATCGATATTTCTGTAAGTGCCGCGAAAGAATATAAGCTGAGGTGTAAATAAAAGTAGTATCTGTTTTAATTTACAGTCTGTTTTTGGTTAATGACGCATTTGTTGTAATTTTGCCTCTGTACACCACCGCAGTGGAGTACATTTTTGTACACAAGCCCCCAAAAGTAATTAGATACACAATCACAATATTATATGATCATAATATGTCTGTGACTGTGTAAGTGCAGAGTGTGCTTGTCTGTGAGACCTTTGTGGAGCTGCTGGAAGAAACCCGCGTGACCCGCCCTGCTCTGCGGTTCCAGTATTATATTCTGCCCTCCGTCACCAAGAACTTATTGGCACTTGGGATCTTTAAGGTACATTGTCAAGAAGGCTGAGAAAACTGGTGATGGGAAAAGATGGGAAAATCAATAAAATCATTACTGCTTTTTCAGTTCATACTTCAGAAGTCTTAGCAGCCTCTTTAACATGCTTCCAACTGTAAAACAAGATCTCTCTCTATATGTTTTTTTCCGTAGAAGTTCTTTGAAGAGCAAAATAAGAGCATCATGGATTTCTTCCAGGCTCTGGACAAAGAGGGAACCATGAAAGTCTCCACCTCTGCCTTCAGGAAGGCTGTAAAGGTCAGGCTAACGGTTTGTCATGCTGCAGTGATAATGTAATAATGCACCTCATGAGCAACGATAGCAAATCTATGACAGAATGTTAACTTAGTAAGTTGTAGCTCCCACTCTTGCGTGAATGAGCGATTGGGAAATTGAACTTGTCACACATGCAGGAAGCTAACATACCTCTGGATCAACAGCAGCTTGGCTGGTTGGTCAGGAAGTTTGACAAGAACTGCACGGCAACCATAGTGTACAGGTTAGTCTGCAAACACACAAACAGCAGCACATGATGACCCCTGATCATGTCTTTAACAAATGCAGTTCATTTATTCTAGTTTGCCTGGGTTTTTGAAAACCTGGACAGCACTGAGGTTAAAAAAAAAGAGTTTATTTTCTTGTTCTTTTCATTTAGAAATCCAAGTTTGACAGAATCATCTTAACTCGGGCTTTTTTACCCCGCAGTATTTTCAATAATATTTTTATTGTCTTCATTTGAACACAGAGTTCAGTGAGGTTGTTTTTTATGTGTGGATGATAGACTGTATATAAATGATAGACGTAGGCACTGTGCTGTCATTGGTCAGTGATGTCCCATTGTGAAATCTCAAACTAAGCTGCTTTGCATCCTGTTTCATCCATACATCCATTTTAAAAACAGTCTGGGGTGTGAAGTAAGCCTTTAAATGTAATCAGGGGTGTTTCAAGTTAAACACTTACTAAGTGAGAAATATCTTCAGAACGTCGTCTGTCAGCCATGAATCTAATGTCAGGTTCTCTTTAAACTGTGTCTCTGTTTTTGCAGTCAGCTGACTGAGCTGTCATAGACGTGGAGACACAGTATCACTAACAGTAAGATTTGGGAGGGCTGTTGACGTCTTTAAATAAATGTTGTTGGAGTTTATACTTGATTTTCTCCTTAATATGCAGTAGTTCCTTCATTGATTTCTAGTATAACTTTCAACTAAAAGCACAGTTTCGCAATTTTTTCAGTTTTAGCTAAATCCAAATCGGTCCACTTCAGTGTGTACACTTGAACCTGTGACATCAACCAGCTGCACTAACCTCAGTGCTGTGAGCTGTGGCTCGGCCGGCGGGGTCCTCTGCCTCATTCTCTCCATCCAAAATAATCTTCTGGTATGACAACAGAACAAGAGGAGGAAGAAGAAAAGAGCTGGGGTCCATATCAAAGGACAGAGGCGACACAAAGAATAGGGCCAGATGCGAGCCAGTTGTTTCACCACATTCGTTAGCTTTGAATGAAATGGCCCGCAAAGGAAACGGTACACTTATGAATATGCATGCAGAGCATTACTTATGCAGGCCCTGCCGAATGGGATTACTATTATTATTAAGAGTGTGCAGAATTGAATTGTCTCAAGGTGCGATATCGAGCAGCGCTATCGGTTTCTGCCAGGTGGCTCCAGATGCAGCTACAGAGGAGACAATGACACAACGCACGGTCTCATCTGCGTCGGTTTTTTGTGTCACAATTAAACGGCTTTTTGTGATACAACTATGGGTGATCAGAAGATGTGTCACCATTTAAACTGACAGTTTAATTATTATTATTCTTTTGAATATTTTATCAGAGATTTAGCAAATTTTAGAGAGAAACCTGGGGAATAGTTTTGAAACCTTTAAGTGAAAGAAACTTTGAGTAACAGTTCCATAGATTTGTCTATGAGATGAGCTACAGGTGTCAGCAAACCACCGTCTGTTTTGGTTGGTGCTTCTTTCACTCTTTCTGGATCTTCCTAAACATGAATGTTGACTTCTATGTCAACACCTGGGTTTTATTGTCAATGCTGCTGAAACCGGTTTTGTAGAATCCAGATCCAGACTGAATCCAATTTTGAGCCCATCTGTATGCTTCAGTATGCAAACTATAGGGACTAAAGTACTGGGCCACACCTCTTCGTCTTTGAATTTAAGGGGGGGTTTCAGTCCTTTTCCACATGAAATCAAGCACCCAGCCTTGCAGTCTACGTTTGCAAACCTGTGTGAAAGAACGGGTCGTTCTAAAGAGCTCACTGAATCCAAGTGTGGTGTTGTAACGGGATGCCCTTGTCAGTTTGTGAAATTTCTTCCTTCCTAGATATTTCACCATCAACTATAAGCGGTATTATTGCAAAGTGAAAGCATTTAGGAACAAGAGCAACAAAGGCATGAAGTGTATTAGAAGGCAGGAGACAGTAGCAAAGGCAGGAATGTGGACCTGAGAGTAAGGGATCAGCTGTGGAGGTCCCTGGAGGGAGCAGCAGAAAGGAAAGAGTAGATTTTTCATACATTAGTGTGAGGTTGCTTAAAAAAAACCTAGAAAAAAGTCACAAAAATCATAAACTGTATTAACAAACAGTTTACCTGCATCTGGTGTTTGGCAGCTGGATTGTTCCAAGCAACATGAAGAACTTGCCACAGGTCTTTTGTGGGCTTCAGGCTTTCACTCCTTTTTACAGGACACTGTCTTCTTGTTCTAACTGATTCTGGCTCAGTTTGGCTTTTCTGTCATGCTCATTGATGCTAAATGAATTTGGGACCAATCAGAGGTTTCGCCAATAAGAGTGGAGGATGAACTGAAAAAAAAATAAATAAATAAACTGAACTGAACATCTTAAGTGCTTCAATCTTTTATGGAGTACTGCTCCCAAAAAACCTGTACATAGAGTGTACTCAGCTTTTTAAATCAGCTGTCCAGTAATGGACACACTTCTCTTAATGTACTTTTTCAGCTGGACTAAAATATAATTTATATAACAGTATTGCCACAATGAGCTTGTTTTGAAAGCGAGAAAAAAAATAACAGAATAATTTAGGTAAATTATCTCTCTGATGTGGCTTAATCAAAACAAACAGCTAGCTGCCAATTTCTAATGGGCCATCTTTCATCTGAATGGACACAAAGACTTGAAACCCACGTCTTATTGAGCAGTCCCATTGGAAATTCACAGATTTGGCCAAATTTTGAAGACGAAACATAAAACCTGCCAACAGGCCCTTCAGATATCTATGCACCCACTGGCATACGCTGCCAATTATCATGATCTCAAAAGCGCTAATGGAATCTTGAGCGGTAATAAAAGTAAATAATTAAATTAAAGGAGCTCTTGTATCATTGTTTGCTGTATTCAGGCCCATTAGAACCTCCAGTATTCTCATGGTAATGTAATGTTTTGGTTTTTTGTGCCCGCGTAATGAATTCTGTGTTTTTCCTCCAAACAGTGTTGTTCAGACATTTGTGTAGGTGCTGGCAGAGAAACAAAGACGTACATTAGGACCCATTGTGCCCTGTGATTATTAAAGTAAACAGAAATACTGAAGAGGTATCATACACAGCTGCAAACACTTGAGCCTGTTTTTGTGAAGTGGGAGAAAGGGCCAAGCAACCCTCAAGACTTTGTCAGAGATGATCCCATTATTTGGAGCTTCTCAAGAGCTGAGCGGCAGGCTGGCTAATGAGGCTTTGAAGATCCATCGCTGGCACACAACTCACATGCGGCAGAGAATTCGGGGAGCGAAACAGAACCTGGCACGAGATAAAATGTTTTAGCCAAGATCGGCCGCAAAGACGTCCATTACCTCGGCGCTCTGCTTTTATTTTGCCAGCATTGCTTTTCCAAGACCTTTTAAAAAGAGACCAAGACTTTCCAGGAGATGAATGTGAATGTCCAGTTCATCTGCAAAAAGACAAGGGTTTTTTTGAAAGATCAGGAGTAAAGTTGGGATAATTCACTAGACTTCTTCAGAGACTTCTTGAAAATAGCATGAGGAGAATAGAACACCTATGTATGAACATGAAGAAGAAAAGTGTGAGACAAGTTTCAGTACATATAAATCAAGAGATTTAATGTTTGAAATTGTTTCTTTAAATAAGTAGAAGCATTTCATATACGAGACTGGACAATGAAAATGAATGTTCCAGCATAAAAACCTGCAAATTGTGCACTTTGAACTTTACTTCGAACATATTTTTCATAAAGTAACAAATTGTGTGCATCTATGTAAAAAAAGCATGAGGTTTTTGTTATGTACAGTTTCTGTTGAACAAAAATGAAATGTTCGTTTGTTTTACTAAATAACTGATAACAGTTGGATCAGAGCATGTAACCTTGACAACAGTGAGCGAGGCAAGTTTATACTAGATCGCTATATACAACACAGGACAGGCAGGAATATGATTAAACCAAGTCAAACAGAGAGTTGATGTGGACTTAAAGGCATGGCACTGCTGTACACACAAGTTCCATACAAAGACCTGGTTTCCTGGTTACTGACTCATTTTCTCCAGGCTGTTGCCGGTTACAGTGTCTAACCAAAGCAATCTGTGAAACCTGTGTTAACATCAACATCTTGAACTAATCTGAATTATCCCTGTTCGGCCCTACTGTGGAAAAAGTGGCTCAAGAGCACTAATTAACAAGCGGGGGGAAATGTTATGCAAGCAGCTGCTGTCTGGAAAAGCCATTCTGTTTTATGATTATACAACTGTGATGAGAGTGAGTTTGCATACCGCTTCATTCATCCGAAGGCTTCATAACGCATCTTTAGACAGGCTTATGTGGAGTTAAAGGCAGAGTTTTGTCTTGTTTTTGAAGTTATTTCCATTTGATTAATTCAAACGTCGTAAAAGAATTACTGATCAAAGTAGCAAACTTTTAGTTTCATCAATTTAGGCAACTTGACAGATACGTTACAGGTAATGTCATGCATTTAAGTGCAATGAGCATTGGAACACAACCCCGGTACGCCCCTGTAGTATCAACACTTGTAAAAAACAATAGTGGTACAGGCTATTTTGTGCGTTTTCTGTGATGTGGAGTTCATTTTTATGCAGCCGAGTATCTTTAAATAAGAATTTAGTGGCGGAAACGTCACATTCCCAGGAGCAGGACTCTTGGATCTTCCACCACCGCTTTGATCTTGCGTAAAAAGGTGACGGCTTCTCTGCCGTCAATGAGTCGGTGATCGTACGTCAATGCCACGTACATCATGGGCCGGATCTCAACCTGCCAAAGCAGACAGTAGTTAGTAGTCTTAAAAATATTATATATGAAAAACTGTATACTGATTCTAGGATTATAATTTAAAGAAAGAAGAGCTCTGTATTTCAGCAGTTAACACAATTCTCACCTTGCCATTGACGGCCACAGGTCTGTCAAAGATGCCATGCATGCCCAGGATGGCAGACTGCGGTGGGTTAATGATGGGCGTGCCAAACATGGAGCCAAACACACCACCGTTGCTGATGGTGAAAGTGCCTCCGTCCATATCCTCGACAGCGAGCTCGTTTTTACGAGCCTGAGGAACAAAACGCAAAGGAATTACTCATTTATTCAGGGGTGCACAGGAACAACAAATATCTGAAAGACTGCTTTTCCCAGTGAGATGAAATGGTTCAAAACGAAATGATTCTAGGACGTCTGTGCTGTCTCTCATCATTTACCTTTTCTCCCAGAGCATTAATGGCTTTCTCAATGTCAGCGAAGTTCATGGTCTCAACATTCCGGATCACAGGTACAACAAGCCCCTAAAAGTCAAACCTGGTTAATGTCTGATCCATGTTACCTGGAGCAAAAATTGAAGGAGTCAAGAGATCTAACAATAGTTTACAGAGACTCAAATCTCATACCTTTGGAGTGGCCACGGCAACGCTAATATCTACATAATCTCTGTAGACGATCTCTTTGGTTGTGTCATCAATAACTGCAAAAGCATTTTGTAAAATAACAAAAAGAAGTTTTAATCAGTAAAGTTGGCCGCTTGAGTGTGTGAGAGTGGAGATGTTTGTGTGTTCTTACCAGCGTTGACGGCTGGTTGGTCGATCAGAGCGTGTGCAGCAGCCTTAACAAACGCCGACATAAAACCCAGTTTGGTGTCGTGCTTCTTTAAGAAGGCGTCCTTGTGGAGTTTTCTCAGCTCGTGAATGTTGCTGAAATTTTGAACATTGGAGAAAAAGATGGAAATCCGGAGCCTTAGGTACGGCTCAAAAAAATCTGGACTGATGCTCACCTCATGTCTACCTCATTGAAGGTAGTCAGCATGGCGCAGGTGTTCTGAGCCTCCTTCAGCCTCTGAGCGATCCTCAGCCTCATGCGGTTCATCTTCACCTGTACACGGGAAACAACGGTCATCATTATGCTGCTGTATTTTGAGGCCAAATTATTACAGACGTTGACGTAACAGAGGAATATATGAAATGTTGTGTCGACGAGTGCGTTACCCTGCTTTCTCCTCTCACTCCTGGAGCTGCAGGAGCTGCTGTGGGGGCTGGAGCTGCAACAGTGGGTTTGACAGCAGAAACTAAGTAAAAACATAAAGACATATATTAATAATTAAACAAAAATCATTGATTAATACATAGCTCTTGTAAAACAAAGGTGTGAGAGCCAACATGAATTGATTGTAACTAGTGCTGTCAATAGATTAAAAAATAAATAAATTAACGAAATAATCGTACAATTTTCTGTAATAAATCGCGATTAATCGCATTTACTTGATCAATAGCCTGGTTGCAATTACATTTTTTCAACTTTATATTTAAGCTTGTAACTGACATTCATGCAATATAATGAAGTAAATGCAGAAAGACACAAAGAACGTGTGCTTAAATTCAAAGAGAATTGGAATAGTTTTCTTCAGTCTTTTAGCACAGGTTCTCTCCTGTGAAATACACCTTTTAAAAAAACAACAACCTATATGCTAAAATATATTAGTGCTGTCAAACAATTAAGATGTTTAATCAGATTCATTACACAGGGTTACTGTGGATTCATTTTAATTAATCACGATTAAATATCATTCATTTTTATTCTATATTAATCGCATTTCATTTTGCATGAGCAAAGAGGGAAAATATACACACTTAACATGTTTATTGAACATCTTGAACATTAATGTTAACAAAAAACTCTCTCTGTCACTCTTGGGGAGGCACTTCAAGTCCTTGAAACGAGGCACCAAAGCTCTGTAAAGCGCGTGTTCTCAATTATGTTAATACGTCTGCAGTTTGTTGCAACTTGACAATTGTGTCAGTCAATATGTCCGAGGTAGACTTACTGAGCCCCCGATGCTGCGTGAGTGATTTGTCGCAAGCTGGGTGACGTGTTAGAAGCCCAATGTGCGTTTATAATCTTCCATATTGAGTTGACTGGTTCAGCTGCCCGTCACCACCAGATCTACTGCCCATTTGCGCATGTGCGAAGGTAACTCTACTTGGACAACCTGCCCAAAATGCGTTGACAGAAACATTTGAGGGATTTTGAGTCATTCTGCACTCCAGATGCGTTAAAAATTTTAATCGTGTTGACCGTGATGGCGGATTAACTTGGGTTAACGTGTTAATTTTGACAGCACTAATTGTAACCTAAAAAGATGCAGAGGTACACATGAGTACACAGTCAGCAACTACATAAAACTACACACCAGGCTTGGGTTGGGCGGGCTGTGGTGGTGGTGCTGGAGGAGTGGCAGCTGGGGCTGCAGGTGGAGGAGAGGTTTCGGCTGCTGGAGGTGGTGCATCTGTAGCTTGGGAGGGGGCAGCTTTGGCAGCAACAGCTGAGAAGAAAGAAGTAGAGAAGGACAAATACAGTATAGGTGCAATGATTGCCATATTATATTTTGCTTCCAATTTCCATAACATTAAAAATCCGATTTTTTTCTCATCCGTAGGACATTCACAGCAAAATTTGCAACACACATGTTTTAAACACCAAATAGAACTAATATTACATGTTCTGTCTTTGATTTTTCCCATGTATTGTAAACTGGGCTCAAGTTACTGAAAATAAACAGGCAAACCTCCTTTCCGGAGTTTAAAGAGAGGCGTTCCTCCTTCTACCTTCCCTCCGTCAGGCACCAGTAACTCCTCGATGACACCGGCTGCAGGAGCGGGGACTTGCACAGAGGTCTGGAAGCACAAGACAAAGAAATCTGTCGTAATTTTAACAACACCCCCACCCTCCAAAAATAGACCGTCTCACGTTTCCTCTGTCACACCTTGTCAGTCTCGATTTCGCAAACCACTTCATCCTCTGACACGGAGTCGCCCACAGCTGGAAATGAATCGATAAAAACAATCAATCCGAAAGCATGCATCGCATGTGTTGAACATTTACCACCAATATTCGGCTTATTCTCACGGTCAGTCATTTGTGGCATATTTATACACACCAACCTTTCTCCCACCTCACATCCCCCTCTGTAACTGATTCTGCAAATGCAGGAGTTTTGACTGTGACCACTTCATCCCCTGTGGAAAAAAAACAAGCAAATGCAAAAACATTTTGCAGTCAGTTAAATGCAGAACAGATACAAAGCATGATGCTGACATTGGTTAAAGACATAGATGTGATACATACTGTGATGAGCAGATGTCTTAAAGTATCTTATTTGGTAGATATTGGCTGATGATGGAAAATCACATCTAAATGTCAAGAAGAAGGGATTTATTTTGATTGGAAAAAACAAAAAAAATACATAGATAAAAGCATGTATTAAGGGATTCAGTGTGTGGTATTATTTATCACCCGGCTGATCTATTTTTGATTAGGTCTAGCTCACATTAAGTGTTAAATGACGGCGTTAAAAAGCACATGCAGCACTGTCACACTTAAAGATCAAATATTTCGATTCATTCTGTACAGCGGACGACATTTTTGTGTACATGAGAGACAAACTTACGGCTGAGGTTTCCTGTAAACGATCTGGCTGCAGATGGTGTGGCCTTGAGGGGAACAAACAAAAGACACGGAAAGAAAATCAGCACAAACTGCCGCCGCTTTTCCTCATGCTCTAACATAAGATATGAGTGGAGCTTTCTGAAAGCTGCAGTTAACCACTTGTGGGCTCCTCAGGCATCTTCGCCATTCAGCCAGCATTACTTATTCTACTTCAGACAACCCGCTAATTGAGCATGGTTATTCATGAGAGACCGGATAAAAAGAGTGGCCCGAAATCCAGGCTCTAAAATCCACCTGAACGCTCCGTCCACTCAAGCTTGCTTACCTGATGTTTTCTGTCGGACCAGCACATCACTGAGCTGTAAAGATATGAAAAAAAGAATTAGATTAATTAGAGCAGCTGTAACTAGGAATTATTTTCATCCTCTAATAAACTGCAGACTGTTTTGCTTCATTTCGATTTAAATTTTTTTTTTTTTTTTTTTTTTACAGAGGCTGTGCTTTTTTTTTTTTTTGACCAGAAGATATAACTTCGCAGTTATCCACCCACTTACTGTCCCATCCATCCACTTATCCGATTAAGGGTGTAGAGAAAATTTAAATCTTGCTTCATTTTCAGTGAATTACTTGATCAGGTGTTGCTATTTTACAATTTGTTAATCACCTTTTACATTTTAATTTATTTAAATGAAATAACGATATTTGGTCTCTCTGTATCGATACAATATTGCCAATACAAAACATCTACTGCGCTGTAATGATTGATTCTCTTTCATTCTGATGATTCTACATTTCTTCTCTCCCTTTTCGCTTTTCCCCAGTGGAAAATAAACAGTCCGAAGATCCTTCATACTTTTAACATTCAGCTATAGCCACAAGATTTTTCCAATGCTGACAACACAAGCTTCTGTAAGGCCACTCCGCTGCAGCCTGATATAAGTCGTCTGTGTATTTTAGAGGAGAGGTATGTCTAGTTATGACTGCTTTTACAGTAATGTTTGTCTGGCGGTGTCACTTGTGCCCCAGAGCTAAACTTGCTTACTCTGGGCTTGCCGGAGCAGGGTGGAGTTGTCAGAAAGTACTATTCAAAGTACTCGGAGCACGCAGCCAAGTGTTAACAGCTTGATAAACCACTGGCTCATCCTGCGTTACCGCTTTCAGTGTGTCCCCAAGCGTTTTTCCAGTAAAAATAATATATGGAATTAAAAAATACAGATCTTTTACGTGATTACACACCCTGCTTAACTGAATGCAAACTTTTCCAGATGTTACCTGGTGGACGTGCACGTGAGAACACAAATGTCACGCGTGTCTGATTGGACATTAAGTGGATGTCCCGTTTTCCTGCACGCCCTATCCTGGCAGCACCACACCTAAACCAAATGAAGCCGTGGGAACATGGCTCGAGTGGACTGTTTCCCATCTGAGCTAGATATGAGAAAGAGAAACTTTGAAGACTGTCATAACTGGATTCACCACACATCTGTGCGACATCGGAGTTGCACGCATGAAAACAAATCTAAATAATTTCCCCTAGGGATCAATAAAGTATTCTGATTCTGAAATTAATATTTGTATTTGAAATGGCACAGATTTTATGCAACCAGCGCTAGAAGTACACCAGCTTGTTTTGTGTCTTTTCCTGCTCTTGAATAGGGCTGCCACGATTAGTCGACTAGTCACGATTACGTCGACTATCAAAATTGTCGACGACTAATTTAATAGTCGACGTGTCGTTTGAAGCTTTGTAAGATCCCAAAAGACGCAGGAATAAGTAGTAGTATTTAAGAGTGTAACAACGGACTGAAACAGAAAATGGCAGCATTGCATGTTCAAGGATGCCAGCTGCCGTTAAACTCCGAAGAAGAAGAAGCAGTGTCCCAGAATTCATAGCGCGGCCCTGCTCAATTTTCAACAATGGCGGCAGCTAGTTAGTTTTAATATTACTCTTATTATTCTTTCTGGGTCACAAAATAAACGTTTAACATATTTTCAGGCGAGAATGTAGCTGTGTAAACCTCAAATATCTGCTCAGTTTATCAGGACACCACATATTTTCAAAAGCGCTCCGACGTTTTCGGAGACGTCTGTTACCCACCAGCTCGATAGCTAGCAGGGGGCAAGGCTCACTAGAGCCGGTGAGAGCACATACCTTAAACTTAAAGCTGTAAGCTAATGATAGTTATATAAGAGCAGATGCTGCTGGTGCAATAAGCTGTACGTTTTACATCCAATTGATGCACGATCTGATAAGTCGACTAATCGCAAAAATAATCGGTGACTAGTCGACTATCAAAATAATTGTTTGTGGCAGCCCTACTCTTGAACCACCTCACTAATGAAATTTGAAGGTACAGTCAGTTTTTCTAGGTTATTAAATGGTAAATAAAATATTGTACTCATAAATATACAGTGACTAGTGTGTAATTACGTCTTCCAAGAAATGAATCCCTTGTCATAAATGTAGAATGAATGCAATAAAAACATATGCCTTGCCATTTTATCCACAGTGGACGAGATAAACGTCACTGTTCCACCTTCTAGTGTTTTATATATATGGCTAGAGGTTAGCCACATACATACATAATAAACCGATTTGTACACCATAGTACAAAAACAGAATTCAGTTGATGGCAATCTACTGACATCTAGTGTTGAAATTTCCCACACTGTACCTTTAACTATAACTTAGATTGACTAATTAAAACAACAATTCATCAGAGCCCTACTTGTAAACGTGGGATGTACCGATTGTGAAATTCTGGCCTCATGTGTACTTTTAAATTAATCATTTGGCAAATTTTTTTGTTTATACTGTTACTGTATTTATTACCTCATGAACTAAACTGCCCTAATGTCATCTTTAGACACAAAAATGTTGTAACACAACAAATAAACATTTGTTAGTGCCAACTGCAGGGCAACTTCTTTTCCCATAGCCCGCTATCATTTAATAAAAAAAAAGTCAATGAGAGCCTAAAAATCTGTGCATTCCTATTATAAAAATCCAGCTGATGTGTGTGCAGTATTAAAAAAATAAGCATGCAGCACAACTGTGTCATCGCAAAGCCACCAACATGACTTAAAGAGGAGTCCACACCTTTTTTTTTTCTTTGAGGCTTCAGGGAAAATGCCAGCCTTTAATCTGCACTCCATCGCTTTTATCCAAGTAACTGACAACCAACACAGCTCAACCAGGAGCTGTGTTGATAGCCAAGATAACCATTATCAGCACAGCTCTGCAGACTGAACTCACTGACAACACACTCATGAGAAGTACAGTTCAACTCTGAGGAGACACTTAGTACCATCCAGCTCATATTTCAGCACATGCATCTGCACGCACTGCTGGACTTGTGAAGGAAAAGCCATGCTATCTGTTACACACACGTCGGACACGGGCTATTTCTACACACAAACATCATCCTATTTCAGACTGTGCCTGCCACATATAGCAGTGTACAGCAACTGCTGGGCTTTCAAAACTACCAAGAAACAAAACAGTTAGCGGGACAGTGAACGGGTGGGTGTGCGGGACTCTTCACAAACTTGTGCTGCCTCTCAGTCAGTGTACCTGCAGGTCTGTCCCTGGTGACGAGGCCCTGCGTTTACAAGCTAACAAGCTAGCCATGTTGTAACTCCTCGAAGCGCTTTTAAAACACAGACTCGTTTGGCTATTTCTTCCCAGCCTACCTGACGAGCCGCTGACAGGGAGCGGCACAGCGTCCGGTAAACACGCGGAGATCGCGATAACATAGCGTGGCCGGGGAGTGTCTGCCTGGTCCTGACAGCGGTTGAAGCGGCGGTACGGAAGCCCGGCAGAGCTCTAAGAATGGGAGGAACCACTGCGGCTGGACTGGAGGGGTCCACCGTAGCGGGCGGTGGGAGCAGACTGGATATTACTCACACTCCGGTCATAGGTCGCCTCACCTCACTTTAATCCTTTAAATATCGTCATTAAAATTAAATAAATTTAGCTTTTCTTATTATAACACAATGAAAATAATTTATTTAGCAGGACTGTACCATGTCTGCATACTATACTAAAGCAACTTATAATTGATAACACATCATGCAGACCACGGTATTAGAGAAACAAGAAAACAGACACAATGAATGAATACACTCATAAAGAAGTAACAATTTATTCATTACTAGCCTTCAAAGATTCATATGTTTATTAACAATGCGGTAGGTTACGGGGACGGGATAGGCTGACATGTTAGAACACACCTCCTGCTTTCTGGAGCGCTCTCTGCTGTACCACTACAAATAACCGAGTCTCCTCCTCCCGGACCCAGACCTGCACCCTTCCTCTGAGCTGTAAGACAGGTAAGTTTTATATTGCATATCGAGTAAAAAGGATGCCATGTTGATGATACTTTAATATCTGTTTGTATTTTTACTTATTTAGTTTGATTTCAATTAAATAGACACTTTTAAAAATGAGGTAACCTGCAACCTAAAAAGGGATATCATGTATATATGAGAAAGATGTCTCCACTAGCTGTACCAAGTTCTCTTTCCTGCTATTACTTGCATGCATTTTATTATTCATAAGTGGTTTTTTTTACTTTTGTCTTTTTAACCCTACCAGAATGAATCAGAGTGTTTGGAGCAAAGCCATGTATTCCTCCAGCAACATCTGCCTGGATGGCTGTGCTGCAGAGCATCTCTCCTCTTTTCAGCCTGACCTCATGCCATCAAACTCAGATTCGTCAGGCGTTTCATTGACCTTACACAGAGAAGGTGAGAACATGAAAACACTACCAGATAGTGCTTATTATAGCAGTGCAGATGCTGGTTTGATGTATTCCAGTCAACTGGATCTTACTTCATCCAGAGGCAGCACCAGTGGATCTTTATTCATGGGAAGACACCCGTCTCCCGCACCCACTTCTTATGGTCACCATGACTGGAACCTGAACAGAGGCCATCAAGCAAAGCGTGCGAGAGTAGAAAATATAATCAAAGGTATGACCAGCCCTCCTCATATGTACGACACAGAAATGAAAACAAAGGAGCGTAAAGAGACTGACTGCATGCACAATGACGAAAAGAACCAAGAAGCACCTTACCTTCAGAAACGCATGGAAAGCACGGCTCAAAGCCAGGTAACAAGAAAGCAGCTGGAGAGCCAGCATCAGCACCCCAGGCAGCTCAGAACAAAGGTTACTCACCTGGATGGAGTGAGTGAAGCCCATGATTCCATCAAAACATCTGGTGATGCGTTTACAGATTTGTACAGTGAGTTTGAGAGCAGTTCGAGTCTAAAATATCAAGGATGGAAGAAGGTTAAATTGATGAACTACTTCCAATCCAAACCAGCCAGAATAAGGCTAATGGCAGATGTTCTAAAGTACGAGTTGTCCAGAGTTGTCAGCAAGAGCGTTGACTCCATTTTCAAAAGTGTGCCGCTTTTACAGACATCGCCATATGAAGTGGAAAACGTAGAGACTGATACGCCTCTTCAGCCATCGGTGAGCAGTGATGATGATAAGTTGAGACTTCCATGTTGTGGGACTCCAGAGGTGCAAACCCCAGATGTTCAAACAGAAGCTCTGTCTCTGGTTGTGCAAAAACACGAACTGGAAAGATCCAGGTTACCAGCTCACCACCGTCCAAAATCTCCAAATTTCCTCATCATTGACTCTGCCCTGCAGGAATCTCAAGCATCAGAGAAGAATCACCGTGCTCTCAAGAGCCTACAGGACAGTTACTCAGAAGAAGGCTGGAAGTCAGTTAAAGTGAGATCAAAGGTCAATTCCAGATCTGTGAGAAGCCCACAGACTCACGCTGTGTCTGCAGATCCGGTGATTTTGGAAAGCACTGGTCTCCCTCATGTGAAGATAGAGTCTGATAGCCTGGTGAAAAGCAACCTGTACATGCTGAATGTATCCTTTCTAATTTCTTGTGTTAACCTGTGGCTTTAAGTAACACTTAGCAGTGACAGAACACCTCCAATATATCTGAATACTGTAGCATCTCACGCAGATGTCTTTAAAGTCTTTACTGTAAGTACTATAAGTCTCATTTAAATACTTTCTATCAAGCACAAACACATCAGTTTAATTTGGGGTATGTTAACAAGGACACTGAGGCATGTGGACTTGATGAGCCAGGGATTGAACCACTGGCCTTCCAATCGGTAGGTGACCCTATTTTTAATACCTCTTTTAGACACTTTATGACTGGTTTTGTCCTAAAAGGCACTTACAAATAAACTTTATTTACTTAGTAAATGATCTGCTGGACCTCCTGATTCCCAGCCACCCCTTTTAAAGAAAAAGACAATAAACCTACCCATTGTGGAATCAACATTTTCATCGTATATTGGCTATAAATGAATCAGTTTTGGAGAGAAAATATCTTGTTTTTGCGTTTCGTCCTTAACGCTGGTGAATTTTAGGAGGGTCTGACCACAAACCATCTGAAGAAAGCAAAGCTTATGTTTTTCTACACTCGCTACCCGAGTTCACTTGTGCTGAAGATGTGTTTCCATGATGTACAGGTGAGAGATGGCTTGCAAGTTGGATTCTTGCACATGTCGTGTTATCGTCCTTCTCACAGAATAGAAAACACGTTACATGTGCTGAATTTACAGATTTATACAATTTCTTTCATTTTGCATTTGAGCAACAGCGATGCTACTTTCCATTTTGGGAGAAAAGTCTCAACCTGAAAACATACAAAGAGTCCTCTGTAACCTCTGGATTTATTATTGCATCGTTTTCAGCATCATAATCCACAAACCAAAGACATCATCATATAATTCACAGTGTGTTAAAAAAAACCCCCAGAAGACAGTTAAATAGCTTCATGGGTGATTTTATTTGCTTCACATATTGTAGTGTGCACTGTAAAACATACAAATCAGAAAACAACAACGTTCATTGTCACATTTGACAAGCTCACTTACCTTTCTTTCCTCCTCAGTTCACGCGCTCCATCACCTCTCAGCTCATCAAGTGGTTCAGTAACTTCAGGGAGTTTTACTACATCCAGATGGAGAAGTTTGCTCGACACGCTCTCATCGAAGGAGTGGCAGACGTAAGGGGTCTGACTGTGGGGAGAGAATCAGAACTTTTCAGGGCTCTCAACAGGCACTACAACAAAGCCAGCGACTTCCAGGTGAGGAACAACTGAGGACTTGTTTTACTCTAACACACTGATTGCTTCCTAAAAGCGAGTCGTGAGGTGTCACTCAGGTATTTCTTAATTTATAGCCTCATTTTTGACCATGCATCATCTTTATTTTAGAAACACTGTACTGTGTCCACTGTATCTGCAGCTCCTCTTTTTTATGTCGCCGTATCGGTTTCAGAAAAAGTAATAAAGGAATAGAGCTTACCAAGATTCATTACATTATTATGACTAATATTGTGTAGATGTTACGTAATTCTCATTCTTTCTTTTTTAACCCCTTAAAGCCTGGTGTTTCATATTTAATACATGAGATTTTTTTATTTGCTAAAAATACAAAATAAAAAGCTTTTCTAAGTATTAAATTGGAAAACAAATAAATAAAAATATTAAAAGCAAATACAAAACAAATTAAAACTCAAAAATATATGCAAATTAATATTTAAATTCAGTTTATAAATAAATAAATAATAGATTCGTTAAATACCCCAGAATTTTGTAAAAAAAAAAAAAAAAATTCTGGCAATTATTTAATCGTTCAGGCTTTGAAGGGTTGAGTAAAATGTTTATTTAACCTTTCCAAAATGTGAACTTTACCTGAAAATGGTACAAATTGTGTGAAACTGCAGCAAATACGCAATAATTAGAAACAACCAAACAAAAAAAACCCCAAGAAGCATGTTTCAAAGTAAGAATTTTCTCTACAGTCTGATTTAACCCCCATGTGGAGAGGTCTTTTTCACATATGTATAGTACAAATATAGTGTTTTTTCCTTTATTGAACAGTTGACTGCAGTGAAACAGGATAAGAGAGTAAGATGTTAAGCGTTATGTTTCACCCAGTTAATGTTAAGTTTGCAAAACTGTAAACAACCTAATAATTTGTAACTACTGATGAAGAGAAAGCAGAAATTGACCTATTCTGATCTTATGGTTTCTCTCAGACGGTCACGATGATTATTTTTCTAATTCATAATGTGCCCATGTTGAGCTGTTAATGCACAGAGATCATAAAAGGTCAAATGACACAAATTATTTCATAGAGTTCATATAAAGAAAGGTTTAATATGTTATATTGATGTGAGTGTTGCACTTCGATGAAGCAGCTGTGACAAGCTTTACTGAAGAAAGAATAAGTCAGGGCACTTAGTAATATGTTAAATAAAGATTTGCTTTGAAAATGCACATTTATTAATACAGAGTAAATGTCAGCACTGTGAACAGAGCTGATCAGTACAATGGACTAAAACGTCCTGATGATGACTGTTTGTACTGAGAAGCTTAAATCACTGGTAATTAAATAGCAGATTGTAGTCATTTATATGTGCTCAGTATGACTTAAACCATTAAAAACAGTGATGAGTTTTAATGAAGCAACATGATTTCCCACTTCTGCAAATAAAAACAACCATTATTTTTCTTTATTGTCCAACTTTTAAATCAAAACACATTTCCGTGTAGATCTTAAAGGCTGAGACAATTTCAGCATGATTTGATAGAAATCAGAATCAGCCTAATAAAATCTACACCTTCATGTGATTACCAGAGTTGTTAGGCTTAGTGGAATTGTTGAAAATGTTTAGTTATTGTTTGTTTCAATGTTACCAAACAAACATATACTAAAATACAAATACTAAAAACTAAGAACTTTCATCTATATTTTTTATTCATTAGTTTTCCAGGAACTGAAATTGTTTTAAGCTTTAACACGAGTATTCCTCTAATTTCCAAATGAGTAACAGAGAAATTAAACCTATAAATTGTGCTTTGAGTGGGAGAAGACAAAGACAGCACGGCAAGCATAAGAGGAGCTACAAGTATGTCAAACAGATTGGTTAAGAAAAGGAAAAAAATGATTCGTCATTAGACATACTTGTGCTAGCTGTGCAACTGGACTGAGTAAACCTGTAAAACTAATAACTGCCATTCGAATAGGGAGTTTTTTTTATGCACAATGAAATTTTGTATAATAATTTAGCACAGTCCATATATGGTTAACACTAATTACACAGCAAGTATTGCAATTCCATCTCACATATTAGTGTCAGCTGTTAGTGACATAAAGTACATCAGCTAGAAAAAGAAAAACTGATGTTATACATACATCCTAAACCTGTTCATTAAATCCACCAATAGAACTTATTGAGTGTTGTTGCTAATAAATACATTTCTTTAAACTCTGGACATGTTCAAATACTCTTGGCGTCACAAATATATTCTCACGAGTTTGTGCAAAATAAGATTTTAATCTTTGTGTATATGTTTTAAATGTTAAAAAATACCCATACCAAACCCCACCGTTATTATAATCACTTATATTCTCGCTGTACTCATTTGAAATTTCACCAGATTTAACAATTGCATATCTTTAAATAACATAACATTGCTTATCAGGTCCATTTTGGAAAATTTGTGTATGCACTTTTATTTTGTTACATGACAGTAGTTTAAAACACTTAAAGGGTCACATTGCAAAATAAGAAAAGCTGATTACAGCACAGGTAGTTGTATACTCATTGGTTCAGTTTCCCAAACATGGATTAATCCTGATCCCAGACCATAAACCTTAGTTTGGGACAAGGCTGAATCAGTGTCAGGGAAACTTGCTAAAATAATATTTGTTCTTGATCATTTCACTTCCTTTAATTTTGTTCTCAGTCTCTGTGCTAAGACCTGATTTGTTACTTACCTGAATTTTCTCGGTTAGAGTCACATCTAAAATATAGTGCCATATACAATTCACACTATCTGTCGACGACAGACTGAACAGAATGGCAGCAAAGGACTGATATTCCCTCTCTCCCCCATTAAAGAAATTCTTGTGTGGATTCACAGGTGCCCGACAGATTCCTGGAAGTTGCTGAGATTACACTGAGAGAGTTTTACGTTGCCATTTCAATGGGCAAAGATCGTGATCCATCCTGGAAGAAGGCAATCTACAAGGTGATCTGTAAACTGGACACTGATGTACCAGCTGAATTCAAAAGTCATCACTCTGTATAAGAACCAGGAGACGACATGATCATGTGCCACAGTGACCGGTCACAATGTGGACTTACTCATTTCTTCATGGGGGAAAAAAAATACTTTTTTAAAATTATTATTATTAAATTAAAAACAAAGATTGGCCATCTGAAAAGTAATGTAGATTCTGCCATACTGATGGCAGTGGGGTGTATATATATATCTACTTTCAATCGTTTTTGTTTCATCATTGGCTGGATAGATGCATGTATTTTGCTATATTATATAGCAACAATACATATTTTACATGATTAAAAATATTATATTGTTGACACGACGAGTCACAGATCACAATTTGTTTTCTGTAAAAAGCACAAAATAAATTCCAAACCAGGAATTTACAAAATCTTTAATATTGATGGAACAGAACTTATTACTGTACATACAAACTAAATGACAAAAATATATAGAACACAAACCATTTCAATTCTACAATTACAATGTCAGTGAACCAGTTAAAGTATTAATAAAGGATTACCGTAATACAAAAAGGAATAGTTTCTTGCTTTCTTCCATACTTACCACCTGGATCCATCCATTCATTTACCACATGGCACACTTCAACCAATGGTCCAAAGCCAATTTAATCCTTCATCAGAAGTGATTTGTCTGTTTGTAACCGTCGATCCTTGTTGTGTCCTTCAGTTACTCCAGTAACAATGTCGGTAATCCAGATTAAATTTATTGTAAAAAAATAAAAAATAAAATCCTGATTTCAACAGCAAACAGGGGCCAAAAAAAACAAAATAGTTTGGGAAACTATACATTTCACACTAAGAAGCCATTTTACTAGGTACAACTGTTCAACTGCTTATTATTGCAAAATATCTAATCAGCTAATTGCCATGTAGAAATGGTCAAACCTGCTGAAGTCAAAAATGTGAGTGAGAAAAAGTGGGATTTTAAATGTGGCATGTTTGTTGATGCCAATTGGGCTGGTCTGAGTACTACAGAAACTGCTGATCTACTGGGGTTTTTAACACATAACCATCACTAGGGTTTATGACGTAACCCCAAATAACCATGTGTCAAAACCAAGGAATGCAGAAAAACATCTCTGAGCACACAACACATTGAACCTTGAAGCAGAATGGCTACAGCAGCAGAAGACCACATCGGGTGGCACTTCTTAAAGTCAATAAAAGGAAACTGATGCTACATAGGCTCACCTAAATTGGAAAGGAGAAGACCAATGAGTCCAATAAGCCTTGATTTCTGGTGCGACATTGGGATGGTAGAGTCAGAAGTTGGAGCTTGACAATTTGTTTTCCATGACAACAGAGTACCGTCTGATGTGCGTACGATCATTATACAAATTCGGTTGAACGCCATTTGTATGCAACACGGAATGCCACAACAAAGGTGGACATCAAGACAATGGTACACCTGCAGTCAGTCTGTGGCTTTTCGTTAGACTCTGAGTGTCGTTTCTGTGTAGCCATTTCCATTGTTGCTGGATTTCAAAAATGGTGGGTTTGATTTTCGTGAAGGAGTTTCTCTCATGACTTATCAAGTGACGTCCCTGTCTAGCCAATCAGTGGCATGCAGCGTGTTGATGTCACATTTTCAGATCGCTTGGAACCCCAGTTGAGTAGGTACTAAAAAAGTACCTGATACCAGGTACTATGACCTAATGGCAAACCCTAAGAAAAAAAATAAAAATGTTGAGTTGTTCTGAGTAGGTACTTATGGAAAAGGGCTATTAGAACTAAATGAGCACTATTCATATGCCAGACATACCTGAGTACTGTTACTGACCTTGTCCTTCCCTTTATGACCAAAGTGTACCCATTGTGTGTTGGTGGCTAATGCACCATGTAAACAGCTCAAAGCATCTCACACTGGTTATGGAACATGACACGTTTACTATACTAAAATGACCTCCACATTCACCAGATCTCAATCAAATAGAGCACCTTCAGAATGGGAGTGGTAGAACGGGAGACTCCACTATGGATGTGCAGCTGAAAAAATGTGCACGAACTGAAGGCAAATTGAAGCCCAACCAAGTACTAGTAACAGGGATGAGGTGGCCAGTGAGGGTATAGTAATCAAAATGTGGTACAGGCAACATCTTATTTTGACTTTGAGTGCAAAAAAATAATATTAGAATTGTTTGTTTTGTTTTTCTAATAATTAAAAAAGAAAAAAGAAAAAACCCCAACAAAAAACAGTAACAGAAATTTTTTAAAAACGGGACATCTAAGAACCCCAAACCCAGAGTGGACTGATTTTTCCCTTACAAAATGTTCTTCCATATTTTGACAATTTGGGTTTGTTTGGTTTTTTTGTTTGTTTCAGGGTTAGGGATGCACTGTAAACCATTTCAACAGATGCTGCCAACAGTCCAATTTCAAACTGGTCATCATCTATTTCTAAAGATGTTGTAAAGACACTGGGTAAAGCTTTTGTGTGAGAAAATGCCATGTGAAAATCAAAGTAGGTCAACTGATCTACATGGTAATTTCTAACAAAATACAATTTTATACAAAATATGTAGATCATAAAACCCACCTGATAAATTCAGTAAGACTCAGAAAGTTTAGATTGTGTTTTTTATTGTCTCTTTTAAAACTATGGATGGACCAAGAAACATTGCTACAGGTATACAGTACATGAATTAGGAAGAGTATAAAACAGCAAAAAAACCCAAACATAAGAATAATGATAGGATGCAAGACTAGACGTATCAGAGAATTATAAACTACATATTGATTTGATTTATATCCAGAGAAATAAAAGCCTCTAATATATGTAATAATGAATGTAATAAGAAACAGATAACAGCTGGTGAAATCACCCTGATCAAAATTTCATCGCCAGTAAGCTTCAGCAGTTTTCACATTCTGGGCACCTGCAGAAAGAAAAGCATGATATTGGTAATTTCACGGTTAAATTTCACTCAAGTTTATTTGTTTTATGTGACAATAAGGACTGCATTAAAACAATGAAATTTCATGTATTTTATGGCATTCTGTTAACTACTGTTAAATACAGAAGATAATAGTGTTACCTGCATTCTCATAAGTCATTCTTAATCTGTATGCTCCCGATCAAACTCAATAAGATTACTTTGGAAATGGTAAGTCGAATCTTTTTCGGGAAAATGGCTGGCTGATTGACCAAATGTTTCTCTCAGTATATTTTCCAATATTACTGATACAAAAGACGTTCCCTCAAACTTCTCATTTGAGTCATTAAACATTCTGATTAAAATATTTTAAATTGTAGAATATTATGACTTAATAGCCACAAACATCATCTACAATTTTTCTAACAACCTGAACAATATGAATAGGAAAAATACGAACCTTTCACTGAAACCAAAAAAAGTGTAAGATTATCTTCTTAGAAATACTTGGTACGGTTGAGAGCTCTTTGTGCCAGCTGGCCACTCTCGTCTGTTATTTTCTCCCAGTCCGTTTGACCCACCACGAAACCGATAGCACGCTTTCGATCTGCATCCTTTTGCTCTTCAAGATCAGCCCATCGAACCTTTGGAAAAAAAACAAAACAAACAAAAAAACCAGGGAGAAACCCAGGATATCATGTTATGAACAAGAAATGGGTAAATGATTTCAGATAATTCAGTAACATCTTTGAACATTCAGTATCATAGAAACTACTAGGGACACACCAACTGTGAAATAAATGCTAAAAATAATTCAGTTTTCTGTTATATTTCTTTTTTAATTATGCATGTTTAAACATGTAGCCAGCTCACACCTGACATAAATATACATATCAGCCTCTGATATTGATAAAGGTCATATTTGCTGATTTGCTAGCTGTTGTATCAATGCATTCTTAGAAATGGTAAGAAAAAAACAACCTTGAACTTTTGGTTTTTCCTCACTAACAAACAAATGCACTCATAGATGGTCAGGTCAAATTTTACCCTCTTCTTTCCAGGTTCGGACATGCGTGTGGCATAGTCATCTGGCAGCTGTAGGTAGTCTTCGAGGCCTGCCATATGTTCGCCTTCACGCTTCCTCTTCCCGCCACTCCCCAGACCATCCAACTTGTCTGTTTAAATTGAAGATTACCGTTCAGTTTACCTCTACTCCCCCATAAAAACAACATAAAACCTCAACAAGGTATCACTCATTTATCAAAAAATAAAATAAAATTATGAGACAACTAGTAACATCTGTTTTATCATTGCTCCATAAAACGATGATCCAGGACCTGATCTTTTTTATACAAAGAATTAGTCTATAATGTGTCTTTTTAACTTAAAGAGAAATGAGGTCTTTATTTAAAATTTAACCTTTTTTTTTTAAATTTACAGTCACAATAGAAACAACTTAAGGCGCTTTCCTGGTATTCTTACAGAAACAGCAGCCCATGTCTCATTCAGTAACTGACTGTTTCCTGTTGACATGCTAACAACATAAATAGCGGTTTGTACTAGATCTGATCAGCCTGGAGGTACTGTGCTGTTATTGATTATAACACCATAAGCCTCATCTAACAAAACACCTGCTCAACTAAATGAAGAACAGCTGTACAAGTCCTATCAAATAATTTTTCTCTCTCTATAAGCATAATTCATAAACTGGTTTATGGTTTACAGTGTACTCTAATGTACTAACAGGCGCAAAAGATCCCCAGTTCAATGCTGGGAGGAGACTCAAATCCCTTTGGGAGATTAAACAAATTAAACATTAGGTAGCTACTCACTGTGGTGACCCCTCATCAATAAAGGAGCAGCCAAAAGAAGCTTTGACTCAAACTTTTTCTGAATAAATCCCTTCAGAGCACCAAAATTGTACGCTCCTAAAGAATTATATGTAGATATAAAGCTAAAACACCCGTTTAAACCCCCCCCCAAAAGATTTTTTAAATATTTTTTTTATTTGCTGTATCCCCTATATGCAGTTTTAATAATGATGAGGTTTGGCTGTTGGTTGGTCTTTAGTGGGATATAGAAACCAGTTGAAACTATTATTGCTTTTCATCAGCAACAAAGCATTAGACCAGTAACTTGACCAAGTCCACCAGTGACTCAATCAAAATGCAAAAGAATCGCATCAATCAAACAAAGTTCACAATAGGAACAGAAAAAAAGAACACAAAACATACACACACGACTTCACAGATCTCGCTACATGACACTTAAAACACATTTTAATGATGCAGAAGGCTCTATATGACAAAGGCAAGACTGGATCATCATTAAAAAATAAATACCTACCAAGTTTTGCCTCTGATGTGTCCATCTCCCATTTGCTTTTTGGAATGTAGCCCTATATTACATAAAGAAACACTGCAATG